GTATATAAATAAAACAAATAGAATTTAAAGTATGCATTGGGTTTTTTTGAAGATATCCCTAGTCAGTCAATTGTGAAAATTTTGGAAAAAAAACATGATTAATTCAAATTACCTCTTTTGGTTCTCCCGTGAAACTCTCTTGTAAGAAATTTGTGAACGTTGGTCCTGGACAGAGAATCGTCACATTAATATTTGTTCCAATTTTTTCTGTTCTCAAGCAATTGTAGTACCCCTGAAAAAAAAACAGAAATCTGCAAAATTGAAAATTCATTATAGTAAATGACGTTTGTGTCAATGTCTTTGGTATATTCCTAGTTTCATTTTTTGCTGATATCTTTTTCTTTCTAATGTTAACTACTACAATAATTACGTTATGCATATTGTTGTTTAATGCCTTTTAGGATTTTTTCATGAAATAAAAGAATTGCTGTGACCTTGAGGAGTAGTATTTTAATATCATCAAATCGAAATGTTACTTTTTCTTTGACGACTTACACAAAGATTGCTTTGGAGAAAGTGATCAAAATTGAAAAATAATTTTTTGTGCAAAATTCTACCATTTGTCTGTCTTTCTTTCATACTGCCACCCGCAAATATTCAATAGAAGAAGTTCCTTATGAATGTTCTGCAGATTCCAAAACGTCATTTGACTAGCTCTGTTCAAATTTCGCTCGAAGAGGTGATTGCTGAAACTGAGACCTATTTTGAGGCAAAAGATAAATCGTTCTACAAACTTTCACAAACTACACCTCACGATTTGATCTCCACAAACTTTCTACAATTTTGTGGCTCTTGATGAAGAAAACTTTGAGGAATAAAGCCAATTTTAAACAAAAAAAAAGCGTTTTCTTTCAGCTCAGTTGTTATATATTTGGAAGTGATGGAAGGAGCAGGTAGCTCTGATGCAGACCAGATGCATGTATAGAAAGTCAGGGGGCCAAAACCAGACATGATGTATTGACTATAAACTAGTAGCATTCACCAAGTAGACTAAGATGACAAAGCAACTAAGGACTTCTTAAACTTTTAGGAGAAAAGATTCAACTGCCCGTTGTAACATCCGTTGTTGTAGATTGAAACGGGTTACTTGTTACTTAGGAACTAAATTATGGGCTGCCGGAACTCAGCGGAGACGGATGGTGGGTAAATATAAGTCCACTTGGAGGATAAGTGTATTGTTTCTTCAAACACGTCAAGCTTGTGGTGATTACAGGCTCATGGCCCAGAAGTATACTTTTGGGTTCACAGATATAAATGTAAGCAACTTATGATTAAACTTAAGGTGTGGTAAATACTTGGTTTATTCTCGAATTCACAATTTGTGCCGCAATGTTGATTCGAGGTCGTGCGGGAGGGTGTAATACATAACAGGAAAGACCAAATATTCAAGTGAAAATGAATTCTGATAAAACCTTATCTACAGAAAAATAAAAACCACTCACTCTAAATGATAATTACTAGACAACTGATAAACTGTTTATAATATATTTTTTGAACCAGACTATTGCTTTTACAGAATATCTGCTTTGAATTGTAAAGCCATATCAATTTTTTTATCCATCTGAAGTTTCTGTTCCATGTTTTCACTGGCAATTTGGGAATTTTCTAGGCGTTGCAGAAATATAATTATTGTAAAAAATGGATACACCTCGTGAAACATTATACAATCAGTGTATGGACAAACCTTCTGCTTGGTGCAAAGAACGAATACAGGGTACACCGAGCTACAGAAAAACGGCAAATGTATTATACTATGTAGGAAAAGTTTCACATTATAATTGTCGTCAACACACATACGTCTGGAATTGACTGCAGTAATTACTTGATACTTGTAAGAAACTGGCTCCCAAGCAGAAAAGTAGGCACCACAACCTTACATTTTAACAATTTTGATGGATCACTTCTCAATGTTACTGGCTCTTTCCATTTATACTCACATGTAAAGCATGTTTTGAAGCGGTGTATGACGCAGAATTTGGGATACCCAGAATCCCTGCTATGCTTGATACTACAGCTACATGTCCACACTTCTTTTCATTGAAATATTCCATTGCCCTCCTGGTCATATGAACGACGGCAAATACGTTGAGGTTGAACATCTCCTGATCCACTTCCAAATCGATGTCTTCAAAAAGCGCTCTTTGCGATCGGCCAGCATTGTTCAAGACAATGTCTATTCTACCGAACTGATCTAATGTGAGTTGAAGGATATCGTCGTGTTCCCAGAAATCTAATATGTCCACTATTATGACTAGTACGTCACTCTCTGTTAGAAGACCATCCGATACTTCTGTTAACATTCAGGGAGATTGGTTTTGTTTTACTATAAGTTCACTAGTAATATATTGTTGATATGTTTTTGCTCAATGATTACTTTCAATCCTATTATACAGTGCATTGCTTTAATGTCTCCCCCCCTATTATTTTATGAACTAGTCAACTCAAAAAATTGAAATTTGGGATAATGAAATTAACGCCTGAATACTTTATTTTGAAGTGAAATTGACAGATGAAACTTTTAAAATGGCGACTGAGCGCCATCTGCCAAAAAAATTAAATGGAAAGGGGGGTCTTGTGATACATCATCTTGAAGCTCCTGACGAATACTTCATAACCCTAGAATATGAAGTCAATATCTTCACCTACTACAAAATGGCGGATCATTCAATAATTTCCTGAAGACAAACACATTAATATCGATATTTCTAGAAATATTCCTTTTTATCTGCCATATGGCAATTCCAACAAACCGATAAGGTTTGTTAAGTTATTTTTTGTTTATAAAAACGACAAAAAATGTCAGTACGACAATGAACATCATTGTTCAGTTAGAATATTCTCATTTATTTTTCGGTTTTACTAGTAGAAAGGTACCACGTCAACAATCTCTAAAATGGTCATTTATCGTCCATTTGAAGAAAAAATTGAAGTGATTTTTATTTACGGTGCGACGCGTAACTTTCACAAGACCGAAAGGATTTTCAATCAACGTTTTCCGAATCGTCCTATCTGAAGAAAATATTTGAGGGGACTTGTATCCAAATTCATAACTAACGGTAGTGTACATAACAAAAAGCCGCCAGGTCATCTGGTCATTCCGGAAGAACAGCAAGTGCAAATAATTGGTGAGATGATAGTAAATCTTGAACAGTCTACTTATTCCGTCGCGAATGTTTGTGAGGTGTCTCCTTCTACTGTGTGGAGACTTTTGAAGAGGAATAGGTACAAAATTAAAATGGTACACCAATTAACTGAAGATGACTCTGATCGAAGAACATAATTCTGCGAAATCATGACTTAAACCAGTGCAAGGCATCCTACCTATCTCCACAATATTTGTTTTAGTTACGAATGTACATTTTTTTAAACGGTAATGTTCACAGACAAAATTGCCGTTATGGGAGTGGCACCAACCCTCACGTTTTCTGGGAATCACATACCCAAGATCCAGTAAAAAATAACATTTGGGCAGGAATATTGGGAAATCATATTGTAGGACCTCTATTTATTGATCAAAATTTAACAGGGGAACTAGCTGTATTTTAATATGCTGGAAACTACTGTTGACCCTCTCATCACCGGACTCGTCGAAGCGAATCCTAATGAATTCGATATAGATATTGTATTCTAACAAGATGGAGCACCAACACATTATTCCAGACAAGTAAGAAACAATTTGGATACTACTTTTCCCGGTCGTTGGATTGGCCGTCAAGGTCCTACAGAATGGCCAGCCCGCTCGCCAGATTTGACACCTTTGGACTTTTTTATGGAGCTATCTGAAGCAAAAGGTGTATGAAACTGAACCTGCTTCAATATTGGATATACGGCAGAGAATAATAAATAATATTTGTAGAGATATTGACGTAACTGTGTTCGGCGTGAAGTATCGGATTTGCTGATCATATTCCAAAAACTTCAAGGCAACCATTTCCAGCATCTTCTGAACTGACCTTAAGCTTATTACCGTATATTATGTATTCAATGTATTCCGTCATTTTGTAGTAGTTAAAAATATTGACATCATATTCTAGGGTTGTGAAGCATTTGCCAGGAGCTTCAAAAAGATGTGTCACAAGACCCCCCCCTTTCCATTTAATTTTTTTCCCGGATGGCGCCCAGTCGCCATCTTGAAAGTTTCATCTGTCAATTTGACTTCAAAATAAAGTATTCATGCATTAATTTCATTATCACAAATTTCTGTTTTTTGAGTTGACTCGTTCAAAAAATAAAAGGAGGGGGGGACATTAAAGAAATGCACTGTGTGTAAAACCGTACATAACGAGTCCGATTCGATAAAGTTCAGTCATTTCAAACAATATAAAACTTTGCGAAAACAGTGGCGTACCTACAATGATTTAGTTTAGAAATAAATCTACCTCTGGAGTTAATCAAATACCTCTTGATGAAGATTGTTTCGTATTAAAGTTGAGGTATTCTTATATTCAACCTAGTTATTAGAGCGCAAAGTAGATTTCCTGATAGATTTCACGTGTCTGTTGAGAACTGAAGTGGTTTTTCGCGAAAACAGCTTTTATCCAGCAAGAAGTAGTAGTAGTAGTAAATTATACGAATTATTTCAAGATGGATTCTGAAGTGAGACTTTTTGAATGCTATTATACTTCCAATAAAAGTAAACATACCGACTCGACAAAAAAAAGCTTGAATCCCATTTTGTTGACAACAAAATCCTGGATTATTTTTCTTCTCTCTGGAGTGGAATTGGTAGCGTCGAAAACAGCAACTTCTCCTCCGTTTTCCAACCATTTACAGACATCTTTCAGGGCTTCCAAAGCGCACTGAGTTCTGATAGCCATGGCTTCGGTGTTATCCGGCCGGAAGAAGTCATGATTCTTATATGCACTTGTGGCATGTCTTCTGTACTCTCCTAAATTGAACACTTTGGTGTTTATTCCTATCCAATTCAAATATCTGGAAAGCTTCTTGGAAATGTAAGTTTTTCCTCTGGCTGGCAATCCAACCATAGCAATAACATGCGGAGTGTTGACATAATTAGCTCTTTCCCCTGAAAAGAACAAAAAAATCTCAATATACTGAAGACAATAAGGATGATAGTTACGTTGATTTATTTAGGGTCTTTCAAAAGGAACTTCAGGACCTTTTGACAATTGATAACCGTCATCTTGTTGAAAATACATTTGTCAAATTGATTGTCATTTATTCAGTCTGTTTTACCAAATCACCATGGACGCAAATATCATTCAACAACCCGTGCAAATAATAAAATTGTTTAATGAAAATGAGTGTTATGTTCGGGAAACGTACGGTCGCCATAAATGTCCTAACGGGAGGATTCCTGGTCAGTGGCAGAAATAAGTAGGGTGAGGGGAACTAAAACTCCCCAAAAGCCTTTGCAAAACATGCCACCGAGGACCAGCCTACCCAAGCTATGGTGTAAGGAATCGTGCCGACAGCTGAATGGCCGCAGACGGTCACGAACGATCCTATTGAGAAACTGGACGAAACCTCATTGTAATCAGCCTACCTCTGGTAATGCGGGTCTCTGCCAGAGGTGACCAACTCTTTCCTTGCTACTCGTGGGAATACACATAAATGAAACAAACACAAAAACAGAAACAACAAAAACTAATCCCGAGGCTGGACAGAAGTGCTCACCTCAATCTAAAGCGGTGGCTGGGGATGAACAGAAATGTCCACCCCAATCTACCGCTTACGTCAAGGCGTAAGCGCATTTGCGGCGCCGAGGCCAAAAGGAGAAAGGGAGCGAAATATGCAGGAGTGGCAGCAACTATAAGTACACCCTCCTCCTCCCCCACTCTACCTCCAACAGCAAGGGCACTTCCTGCGGCGGGCGCCAAAAGCTCCGCCTTGAATAAAGGCGGAACCGGCTGCCCCTACAGGAAAGTTTCCTAACTTGTGCACCTTCACGGAGGGAACCCCGAAAAGGATGAACAAATCGCACAACGACAGTAATATCGCTGCACCTTCTAAAACCTTTGCGGAGGCCATCATAAGACATGTCAAGGTTGCCAAAGAGAGTGTGTGTTTGGCGAGTCTTGGCATAGGCCACTGCCAATATAAAGAAGATGTCTTCTAGTGACCTGTCTACCTTCCTGGAAAGGACAGGATGGACGATGAACTAGAAGGACAACTCCTCGGGAGGATGTACAACAGGTCGCATGTGGTCTAAGTGCTGTGGGTCTACACTCACCCTCCCTACTTTACAGATACAGGTACCCGTACGTCGACGAAACGCAAGGTCTGCCGAAAGCATCGCCGCGTCGCTCACAAGAACTCAGTCTTTTGTAGACCACAACATGGCGAATTTCGGGTCACGTTCTTCATGAACTCAGGGTCCTCCTGTAAGGTGAGTCGTTGGGTCGAGGAGTCAGGCACTAGGTCACTGACTCCAGGAGAATAGCCGAGGAGGTCAGACCAGCATCTCGAGGACGCTTATCCCAAGACCGTTGGGCGCTATGAAGAATAGCAACCTGCACGAGGTGGCCCTGCATAGCAGTGTACTCTCAATGCTCTGGCAGAGAGAGAGGTTGTGAACCGAACACAACGGATCTAAAGAAGGCAAGTTGACAAAATCCCCCAAGTCAAAGTGTGAGTTACCGTGATGAGGAATGAATTTCAGCAGGGTAAGCTGTCGAAAAACGATACCTCTGAGACACCAGGTCGCATCTCAGAGTATCGAAACTTTAGCGCGGCATGCGGGGCTCTGTCACGGCGGTCTAAGTTTCCCTAGCTACTCGTGGGATTCATATGGATTCAAAAAAAGTAAAAAAAGATACAGAGGCGATCACGCCCAAACACACACAAAGGCCAAAAGGGTTTGGTGCTAAGGCCCCAAAGCAAGCACCTAAACACAAGGTTCTTGTATCCTCCCTAGAGGAGGTAGAACTACTATCGGATGAAGAAGTGAAAACTGCTCATCTAGGCGGAGCTTCAAGAATGAGGCTCAAAAAACACTTAGAAAGTGGACTACATAGTCGCTAAGAGGCTCGTCATAAAAGAAAACTTTCTGAAAAGTCAGCAACCGAAAAAGACCACAAGGCCGGTTACCAGAAAGAGGGCAGGAAAAGAAGCTAAGAAAGGCATGAAAGAGGCTGGAAAAAGCATGGAAGAGGCTGGAACAAACACATCCACAAAACGCGCTCGCTCCAGCAGCAACACACTCCCACAACAAAGCCAGCTGAGGAAGAAACCAAGGCAAGAAGGAGTTTCCTTCAAAGATGCCCTTACCTCAGTTAAGGTAGCTGTGGTAGATGCGGGGTTTCCAAAGAATAAAATGAGTTCGGAGGGGCTAGCAAAAGTCCAGGACTCAATTTCTGAAGCCCACGACGAAATCCCACCTGAGGGACCTCAAGTGCGTTTTGCAAAATGCACACATACACCGGGTTACCTGGTTATGACGTGCGCAATCGCACAAGTGCAGACTGGCTCAGAGATGCCATACCCACCATAAAGCCATGGGAAGGGGCAACCCTGAAGGTAATGGAAGGGGAGGATATTCCAGAAGCAATCGGCTGCACCACCTACATCCCAGACGATAGAGGACAAAGGCCGGAAGCGGAAAAAATTCTGCGAAGGCTAAAAGTCGCAAATCACGGCTAAACACAGATCTGTGGACGGTGTGGGGTAAAACTCCATCGGACAATAGCCAAACTTGGGCGTTCTTGATGGACAGTGAATCCTTTGAGGAGCTACAGAAAGTCGAGATGTCTCCCTATTACAACCTAGGAAGAATAAAGTTCCGTGTTAAGGGGAAACGGGGCCCAAAACAAGGCACAAGCCGGGAAGAGGTCAAAGAACCTTCCCAGGGGATCGCAGAGATCCACAAGGAAGAAATAGTAGATCCAACAGGAACGAGCCCTCTCAAGAGGCAAGCAGCACATGATACGGGTATTCCCATGGAGATGGAAGAAGCCTCGGAGAAGGCAGAGGAGCAGCTCAGTTCACAGAATTGAGCACAACCAGGGTCAGGGTTCTGCAGGTGAACCTCCACCACGCCAAGGCGGCAAGCGCTGTTGTTTGTAGGAGATTCGACAAGGACGGACTGGACGTGGCCCTCCTGCAAGAACCCTGGGTACATGGAGGCAGGGTTTCAAGCTTAAAAACCAACTACAACAAGGTACTATACAAAGAAGGTGCAAAAAACCTCGCGATTGTATCGTATATAGTAATAGGGTAAACTGCACACTAATCCCGCTGCTCTGCACCGCTGATATTGTTACAGCTATCCTGACAACGCCAACAGAGGAATGCACTAGAAGCTGGTTAGTAAGCTCAGCATATTTTCCAGGCGAGAAGATCTGTCCACCACCGCAATTAGGCGAAGTAATCGCATACGCGGCCAGGGAAAACCTCCAACTCATCATAGGATGCGAGGCAAATGCACACCATATATTATGGGGAAGCACGGACATCAACACAAGAGGTGAGTCATTATTAGATTCCATACTAACAAAAAAGCATATTAATAGCCAACGTAGGTAACAAACCAACATTTGTCACCGCAGCGAGGAAAGAGGTACTAGATATCACACTTTCTTCGGAAAATGCATGTGACAATAGTGGTCGCCAACCTGTCGATCGCGAGCTACCGGTAGCTCGCGGAGGCAATTCTGGTAGCTCTCACAACGATTTTAATTTCAAAAATACAAACTGCAAAAATCAGAACTTGGTTTGATAGGTAGGAATGTAGCTATGAACAAGTACGTACTAGTAATATTAGTTATTTTGTTATTAGTTTATTATTAGTACCTATGTATTATGTATTACCAGTTAAATAGTAAAATAAAAACATATAATGATAAATTAACTGTGGATTATTTCATTTACGTTGCGTTACGTGGCTTCCGTGTGGGTAGCTCGCTGTTTATTCCAAAATTAACACAGTAGCTCAACACATTGAAGAGGTTGGCGACCACTGATATAGACAATGGGCTTGTGTCAGAGGAGCCTTCATGCTCCGACCATAGACAGATTAGGTTTGACCTAGTCACCCCCCTCGAACATCAATCACTTATCGAAACCCTAGAGAGACAAACTGGAGAGGCTCTCGAAGGGGAGGTGATTGAAATAGGGAACGATAAAAGCCTTGAAAGGGCAGTGAAAAAAGTAAGCAAGGCAATAATTGCAGCTTACGAGGCGAACTGTCCAGAGAAAACAAGGCAACAGTTTAACAAAACAGTCTGGTGGAACAAACACTTAGAAATCCTCAGAAGGGAAGTCCGGAGGCTATTTAACAAAGCTAAAATCAACCAAGACTCAACGGAATATAAGGCTACACTCACACAGTATAATAAAGAAATTAGAAAGGCCAAGAGGCAATCGTGGAGTAAATTTTGTGAAGAGGTAATGGATACCCCCACTTGTTCGAGAACCCACAAAGTGCTAGCTAAGGAAGGTACCAGGTAGGGTTCCTAAAAAAGGACGATGATACCTACACAACAACATTTGGGGAAAGCATGAGCATAGATGAGCATAGAAATGCTCATCAAGGCACACTTTCCGGCCGCAACAATTCTAAAAGGCCCAGTGGCAGTGCACTTTCCGCAAAGCAAGCCAAATAGGCCGAATGCCTCGGACTGGAGACTAGCTACTGAGATAACAAGGCCAAATAGAATTAGGTGGGCTATAAGTAAATTCCAGCCATATAAATCTCCAGGAGAGGACGAAATATATCCCATCCTACTTCAAAAGGGGCAGGAATCACTGATTCCATACTTATGTAGAATATGTAAGGCTTGCATAGCCATAAGATACATACCGAATAAGTGGCAAAAAGGCAAAGTCATCTACACACCCAAGATAGGGAAGGTAAACGATATGACGCCCAAGTCATACCGACCAATTAGTCAAGTGTCTTTCCTGCTCAAAACACTGGAAAGACTGGTAGATAGATACATAAGAGATGAGGTATTATCAGAAGAGTTACTGGGGCAAGAGTTTAAGGGAAAGACTATTGCAATATACTCTGATAGCCAAGCAGCTATAAAAGCAATTAGCTCCATGCAGGTCAATTCCAAACTGGTCTGGAACTGCCTAGAAAAGCTACAAGAACTAGGTAGTCAAAACAGACTGTCATTAGCCTGGGTACCAGGCCGCACAGGACACAAGGGCAACGAAGAGGCTGATTCACTAGCACGAGGAGCACGATGCTTCCCCATTGGCCGAGAACCCTTTTGTGGTACAGCAAAAGCGCTGCGAAAAACTTGTGACAGCAACTGGAAGGAAAAACAATCTCAAAAATGGTGGAATAAGGCGCCGGGTATGAGACAGGCCAAAGAGTTCATTAAAGAGCCATCGTCCTACTAAGTTTGAATAGGCGATAAACTAGAGTTCTGGCCGGGCCATTGACGGGACACTGTAGACTCAACAAACACATGAACAACATCGGGCTGGCAGACACAGCCCTATGCAGGCTTTGCCAAGAGGATGAGGAAACCTCCGTACACACACTATGCTATTGCGAAGGTCTGTCAAGGATAAGGTTAACTGAGAGTGTGGTTAGTGGGAAAAATAACAATGCAGTGAATAAATTTGAGTCCATTAGTTCAATAAACGATCGACCAACACCCGAAATGCAAGATCTGCCGAAAACATTGCCGCTGTCTATGAGAGTGTGCAGGACAATTTGAAGTGGTCGATTTCGCGTCGCTCACACGAACTCGACCTTTCGCAGGTCACAACTTGGTGAATTTTGCATCGTGACGAAATTGAACCGATCCAGGAATTAAAGGTAAACAACCATAAACAACTACGAGTGTTCGCTGAATTGACTCTGGAACAGTTAGCAACTGACTCTAATTTTCATCGAAAAATTATCTTCATTGATGAGGCCCATTTCTGTATTCCATAACAGATGTTTGGAGTACAAACTGAATAATAAACTGTTTTCTGTATAATTCAATCTAATATATAAAAATAATTTTTGCATCACAGTGTTAGTTGTCATACTCTTCTGTTATTTTGATGACATTTTTTGTGTTTATTTTTTTATGATCTGGCATTGAAAAATACATATATTTCCTCAATTTTTACCCTTCTATCACCAACCCCTATTTTTCAATAGACATTTCAATAATTTAATTATTTTTAACCCTGATCATAGATCAGTTATTCCTGCCAGGCATCTACTGGTGACACTTCTCTCTCAGTAAACAGCACGGAGTAGGGATGAGAACGAAGCCGGTCGCCTGTCTCTCTCACACAAAAAGCCTTCTCTCACCCCCTACACAGTTTTCGGCCACTATTATTGTTTATCCATCGAGCATAGATACAGCTGTGAATTAGCCAATCTATTGGATTTGCCAGGCATGCCATTGCATAATTTACAACTGAAGGTTGGATCGCTCCGTAATTTGATTCCACCACGGCTGTGCAACAGCACACGATTTGTCGAATCCAGTATTTTAAATGACAAAAAAGTTCCCGAGGTGAAAATATATTAATATCGCGAATCCCTATTACACCTACAGATGTGCCAATTCATTTTAAATGTGTGCAATTTCCAATTAGATTGGCCTTGCAATGACTATTCCGTTTGTGGCTTGGATTTGAGCACACCATGTTTTTTTACACGGAAAATTATACGTAGCATATTCATGCTAGGTATAATTGCGTGAGCAAACCATTCAGTTTGTTTGTATTAGCTAAACATGGGCTAACGGAAAATATTGTACACAGTATATCATTGAAGAACTCATATTATTTGTGTTATTGTTTTGATAGAAATAATTCAAGTGGCAAAACGACGTTTGCCACATACATTTTTCTTTGGTTTCTTTTGCGACTATACACTATCTTAACAATTTATTTGTAGATTACCTGAAAATTTTCATACATGTCTGATAACTATTATACACGTGTGTTGTATGGGGCCTGTATGAATAAATTCAATTATTATTATTACAATAAAATATCAACTTACAGCGTCTATTTCATTGAGGGATTTCCATCTTTCTTGTGGTACTTGTAGACCAGCCACGGTCTGGATAGTTCTTTTGAGCCAGGACGTCCAAATTCTGAGACCATTAATTTTTTGATCCTGGATATAAGCTGCCAAAGCATTAGCGTATTGTCTACCTCTCGCGCTCAAATTCGAGTCGCCTCCAATGCGTCCCAACAAATTTTGTTCACTTTCACCATGCTAAACAAACAAATGAATGATAACAATAATAACAAATAGTAAAGTTAACTGACTTACTCTTGTTAAATAAATTGTTCTAGGGGTTATGTGGATATTCATCAGATAGTAAACGATTCTAGCTTGAACATGACCTTCGTGCTTGTGTACCACTACTTTTTCCCCTGTATTATAGATTTTCATGAAGGATACATTTTTTTCTCGTTCTTCGTCTAACGGGCTGTACCTTTCTTGGTAATGTAAGATTCTCTGTAAGAAATCCGCCAACGCCGCATCTTTATTCATATTCACATAATCGGGGCTGCTAACTTTTACCTCCATGATATTCTGCTCGATAATTTTGGGATCATCGCACACCTGAAAAAAAAATCAATAAACTATGTGCATGTTTCTATCTAAAGGGTTTTCCAACAGACACTACCGAACTTTAACAATTCATAACGGCCATCGTTTTGAAGCTACATGTGTCAAATTAGTTATCATTATTAACTTAAAGCAGCTTCATCGGACCAGAACCTCTCATTGGCACCGCTTTGGGCTTTTCCAAACGAACATTGAACACCTGGATGACAAGAAGATTTATGGACTTCTGGCAGAATCTCCCAGGATTGGCTCACTCCAAAACGTTTATCCACCATTCGAAGCTTGATACCAAACAGTTGTTAGACTACAGTATGGATGAACTACGATGTCTAACAGGCCTTCTTATAGGTCACTGTCATTTGAATCATCATATGCAGAGACTTGGACTGTCGGAAGACAGTGCGTGTCTGGAAAATAATGAAACAGCAGAGCA